AGCATATGTTAAAGACGTGTACAGTTCATGTGGATTCAGTCTATCTACACAGACATTAGATCATCGTAGATATCAGTGTGAGCATACGTCAAAGACATGTACAACTATTGGTGGATTCAGTCTCTCTACACAGACATTAGATCAACGTAGACATCCGTGTAAGCATACTTTAAAGACACGTACAGTTCATGGTGGATTCAGTCTCTCTACACAGACATTAGATCAACGTAGACATCAGTGTAAGCATATTTCAAAGACATGTACAGTTCATGGTGGATCTCTACACAGACATCTGAGTGAACTATTAATTGGGTTTTATGTCCTATACATTGAACTCGATATTGTATGATTTGCTATATACACGTTATGTGTCACAGTTGTAGGCTTTTGGTGGTACGCAATATTACTTTTAATTTAGCTTTTTACACCTAATTTTGCTAAATTTGTTTCCTTTTGCGTTGCGTGCTCATTACATAGTTCTATAGATAATAATCAGTTAAATTGTTTTAAATTGGTACCTACTCCTTAATATTTGGCGTGTAATATTGCCACTGACGCTTTCACTCCAAGGGATTTTGTAAACTTTTAAACTGCATCCGTTATTTTCTTTAAAAGTGCTTCTTGTAAATATTGCAGTTACTATCTTCCTATATATCTAAACTGGTGATAGTTAGACAGCTCTGCCAATTTTCGTGATACAATTAATCTTGATCGGGGATGACGATTGCTATCTCATAACAAAAGAGGAAGGTACTAACTTGACGATAAATGCTGAAAGGTTTATGTTTATATATAGCATAGAGAAATATATGCGCCGAAATTTTAGATATTTTGAATGGATTTTTTATTGTTATAAATCAGCATAAAGGTAGTTGCATTATTAATTAATCAGGTGCATGGAAAACGCATCTTTGGATATTTGGATGATAATACACCCTTACATTATATCCTTAAATGCTTCAGTGGAAGAGGTGCATTCAAGGCATGTGTATCACATTCGTAACTTTTAACTAGATTTTTTCCCCAGCAGTTCATTTTTAATAGATAGTAGAGTGATATTTTTGTGTGTTAAATAAAATATCTTGGGCAGCGTGTTTGTAGTGTTTTAAATAAACCTTAACTAGATGAAGAAAAACGTGATAATTGTATTGGTAAGATGGGATTACTTTTATTGTTCTCTTCTTGGTAGAAATTATCCGTTATTTTTCACCTGACAGAAGAAATGCTATGTTTCCAACATAAACAAAAATGCGACCAGAACTTCATCTTGGGCCTCCACCGAATATCCTCTCTGTAATTGCCTTTGAAAATAGGTCAGTTCAATAATTTAGAAAGAAAATGGCTCCATGGCCGCACAAAGGTCACCTCACAGTGTAAAGGGGGGTTTAGGAAAGCTTTAAGGGAAGCCTCTTAACTTCATACTAATATACAACCAGTGGAAAAAAAAAAAAAAAAAAAAAAAAAAACGAACTGACAAACTGCATGTTGACTGGCACTGCAGCAGCTACATGTATATACGTCCGTATGCTATCACTGCAATGTGTGTTTGGGGGTGCGTGAGTGGTTGTGTGTGTGTGTGGGGTGGATGTGGTGGTGGTGTGTTTTGGGTGGTGGTGGTGTGATTCGATAGAATAAGTAAGAATGCTATATTAACAAAGCAGCTGAGTGTCAACCCATATGTATTAGAATAACTATATATATACAGTACATGTATATATATATATATTCTATACTATTGAATTAGCCTGGTGTGGATAAAATACGCCTAATGGTAGAACTGGTGTGGTGAGATTTTAAATGTTTATATTTGGTAAAACATAAAATAAACTTTCTCTTTTCCTAGCAGTGCAGTTACAATTACAAAGGATCCTCAACGTTTTGGTAAAAATGGGTCATCCTGCTTGTAAAAACTTCACCTAGTGGTCAGTGGTCACCGCTGTATGCTGAAAAGTATAATATGAACAGTGTTGTTACTTTTTCATCACAACTTCGCCAGGTTCTACCTGTAGTATGGTGCATCTTCTACAAGTATGTCCCTTTTTTGTGTTTTGCACATATAATTGTATCCTACCATACCGAATAGAAAGTGTCACCTCTACTGCAATCCGTGAAATGACAACCAATTTTAGGATTCCTTGTGACTCACAGATGGGATAGAGTAGCCCTTATCACTGTTTATTTAACCACACATCACGTGTTACATTGTACCGTCACTTTGAGGCCAGGAAGACCAGATAACGCCATTGACTCAGGTCCACACCTCCAAACCAAAGCTACATTAGACCTGTTCTCCCGGCCATGGACATCTGCAACCAATAACAGGTAAGTTAACTTCCATGAACTCGACCTAATGAAGTGAAATATATTTTCTCTTTCACACCTATCTAAGAAGGAAATGTGTCACGCTCAGGTGTGTACGCGGGATATTTATACGTCAGGTAATCATTATAGGTCAGGTTCCTATTTACTAATATGACTTTAGTCGAACAATTTTGACCCGGTGTAACAGGAATGCAAGCCGTAGGAATGGAAGTCCGGACTCCCATATGATTAGTACAGGTTAGAGTTAGTTTAAGTATGAGAGTTTCTATATGTCACCTTTACTAGCGGATTTCCAATCCTTTTACACCGGATTAAATAAAGCAAACTCCACGAAGATATACCAAATTTCGACCTGAACTATAACCGTGTCTTACTTGTAATAAAATTTAGTTTCCACTGTACCACTACTGGATATCCCTAGTCAACGTTGACAAACTATCAGGACATAAAGTGAAGAACTACCCTCGGCTTAAATTCTTCTGTCCACCTGGACTCGGGAGGTGAGCACGTATATTGCTTAAGTGGTCGTTTCATAGTTTTATTTCAACGTTTAACATGTTAGTCAACTACCCATACATTTGATGCTAGTGGGACGTTTTACCGTTCGTTTCAGTTTTGATATCTTTGTATATTTCTATTTGTTTTGGGGCCAAGGTCACAGATAAGGTGACAGAGCAGGGGTTTTGATATTACAGTCAAATCAGTGTAAATGGTTGATAGCGGAGTGTTATATATCTTTTCATGTCAACAAGCAATGAAGCAAAGGGTGTTTGCCAAACAGATGCCCCGCATTAGAAATTAAGTAAGGTTAAACAATAATAATAATAATAATTCAAAGATCAGGCAGAGAAAAAGCACTCTAAAATGAGTTAAAGACTTGATCAGATAACCATACACCCATCTCATCCAAATGACAAAAGTCAGAGTATGAAAATTCAAGGGCTTAGATAGGGCACCAGAGGAAAAGGATATGTGTTTCAAACACACCTAGCTTTTATGATTCACCGTTTTTATCTCTCCATTCTTTTCTCCCCTCTTTGGGTGCAACGTATGTCTCCTTCAGTTTATTTTATAGATACAAAGAAACCTATTTTACAGGGGTACCTCACACATTCCATGTTATTTGTCTTTAAAGTATAAATGCAGACTTTTGGATGTTTGCTACATGTATTTCCCTATTTGTGGCCTATTAAAAAACAAAATCTCTGAAGAAGCAAAGAAGTTGATTTGACTGCTTTATCCCTTAGGAACATTTCTGTAATAAATGTTAACAGGAAAAAAATTGCAGGGCCCTGGTATTGGGGCATTGGCAGGTTACCCACCATTACCAATATGTAAACATTTCAAATTCAGATCTATCCAAGCGTTTACTAAACTGAAGGTTCAGGGAGTATTTCCATGCGGTGTGAGAGTATAGCATGGTTCACATTCTCCATCCTGTATACCTAGACTTCAGAGAACAAGCATGTACTGATTCATGGGGACACTGATGCACAGGGAAAGTGATTAAGGTATGCTGTATGATAGTATTCAACTGAACGGCATAAGTAAGTAAACCATGACCTTAATCTGGAGCTGGAGGCTATTCATTTCAATCAGCAAATTAATGACTTGAACTGCGCTTTCATGGTAAGAGCATTGCGTGAAACACCGAGAATTGCATGCCCCCTTACATGTTCGCTTCGGCATATTGCAACCAAATGAAATTAATTAGTTTGATTATTTGAAGTTTTTACGACTTATCACGATGGTGATAATTCGATCAAAATGAATTCATGTTAACATTATCTTAATGAATTTTACTTTTGATCTATTAACACTTGCCTAAGAAATACCTGTATATTTGCAGACCTCTCTGTGTATTCCACATATAAACTTTGACATCTTAGAAAAAAATTCTTCTTCGGGTAAACATACTTTAAGTCTTTCTCAAATCATTATTAAGAAGTGCTATTATTACCTGAGTTATGTCTTTATCCAATCCTGTTATTCATTATCTGTCAGAATTTCAATGTATTAAGATGAGAGGGGAGAAATGGCAGAAGCGCAACCTGATCCGGATGAACCAAAAGGAAAAGTGGCTCGTTTAGGTAGGTTTCCCCCCTGCGGTTAAAATTAATGTAAAATACCTAGACCATTGTAATGATAAGTTGTGTAGATTAGGGCTGACAGCACGCACCTGTTTGAAACTACAGAAATGATAGATTTAGGTTAGAATGTGTCCACAGAGTCATGTTTCATACACTGCTTCTAGTACTTTGTCAAAGGGTTTTATCGGGTAAAGGGTGTATTAGCATAGGGTATAACTTTTAAATGAAAGGTACAAGATGGATGTTGAGTATAATATTAGAATTTATAAACAATGCAGATGTAACATTGTAATTCAGTATGTCTGGCATCGATAAATATGTAAGCTAAATGGGGGCTTTTCAAAGAGAGCTGGATTATAGAAACAGGCATTGCTGCTTTAAAATGACTGAGGGCCGATTCACACAGAGTTATGTATACTGGTAACCTGCACGAAAAGCTAATTACCAGTATACATAACCTCTTCAAAATACCGACGCCGTTTTTCAAATTTGTCATATCTGGTATTTTATTTGTAATATCAGTACACAGACATAGTGGACTAATTTAATTCAAAATCGTAACATATTTCATTCTGTCATTTTTTACAGGAGATGAAGAACCGAACCCAGGTTAGTAAAGTGATGTGAACAAATCTAATCTAAATTTGGGGAGCATTCAGTTTAACCCATCGCACCACTAGCTGGATCGATCCAACTCTGTGGAAATTCTATATCAGCCATCTGACACGTCTCCTAGAGTTGCTAGGGGACAATGGAGGCGTGTCACACAATTTAGCTAATTACACTTCATGCACTGTGTCGAGAATCTCATGCAGAAATGTATCGTGTCACCTTCTACAATGTAGGAATCTTATGTATGAAAATGTAATTGCTTCTAGTATTTGTTCCAAAATGTTTATTGTGGTCTTATCCAACATAAAGCTTTAAATATTCTCCTCTACCAGAGAGTGTCATTCAGAAAATCATGTCATGAACCAATGTCCTTTATTCAATTTTAAAAAGGATTTTATTAAAAAAAATACTGATTGTAAAGCCAATAAAAAAGTTAACAAAACCTTTTTTTGGATATGCGCATAGGTGAAATTAAAATTTCTGTAATGTTTGCGCTGTGACAAAGGGTGCGAAGACAGTATGGGATCATTTTTGTTTGCAGAATTATCCCTCAGTTATCCATTTCCGAGGATACCCGGCACATTATGAATGAGGTTCTCATTTAGTCATCAAGGCGAATCTTAATGTTTTTGAATGGGGGGTACGTTTTATAAAGATTGGCAGGCTTCGAATTGCGAGGCTGACCCTCACCCCCGTGACGTCAGGTTAGGAGCACGCTCGAAGACCCGAAAAATGGTGCTATGGAGGACAAATGGCGCCATTAATTTTTTAAATCAGAAATCGAAGAGGATGTCAGGACCCCTCTGACACCGCCCATAAACCCGCCACTGGGCATTGAACTAGCTAATGGGGGGGGGGGTCTTAATTTGGCACGCATATCATCAGCCTGTTGTTACAATGATAAATAATAATAATAAATAATAAATAAAAGTAAAGAAGTAAATTTATTTCTCCTTTGGACTTGAAAAAATATCCGATCCGACGCTTCTTGTTTATCAGAAAAGCCTTTGACTCAATTGAGACCATTTTGTAAACATTTTCCTATCTGATGTAAAAATGCCAATTTACTGGACTATCTAGCAGATTTGGAGAGGTAAAACGTGACTTATTCTTATACATTCAAATGTGCTGATGGNGGGGGAGGGGGATCTAGATTTGGCACGCACATCATCAGCCTGCTGTTACATTGACTGTACGTGAAGTACTTCATCGTCAGAAATAAAAGTAAAGAAGTAAATTTATTTCTCCTTTGGACTTGTAAAAATATCCGGTCCGACACTTCTTGTTTATCAGAAAAGCCTTTGACTCAATTGAGACCATTTTGTAAATATTTTCCTATCTGATGTAAAAAAAAATGTCCACTTACTGGACTATCTAGCAGGTTTGGGGAGGTAAAACGTGACTTATTCTTATACATTCAAATGTGCTGATGATTTATTAGCTCTTCCTGCAGAATCCCGGATTTGTTTTTTTTTTTTTTTTTTTTTTTTTTATTAATGCATCGTGGTCATTATTTACGCAAGCAGTATTCCTCTGAAGTGAACTGGATTTTCTTCATTTATTTACAGGAAAAGTTGAACGTAAAAGTAAGTATTAGGTCTGATTCACATATTAAAAAAAGAAGCATTTCATTTTTTGAAGATTGTTCCTCTGTCTATAGAACTGAATATTGCAACGCATTCAATAAATACTTAAAAGCAGCTTGGCCATACAAGCCAACATAAATAGCCATAGCTTCCGTATTGATGGTGGCTTCTTTAAGTGCTTTGTAAAAATTAGGCATTGACTGTCCACTGAATCAACCCTGCTCACAAAGGAAAACAATGCCAATGACATGTCGCTTGCCTAGTACGTGATTGTTTAAGTTTGATATAAGAATTAGTCATTCATACACACAAATCTAAATATTTCCTGTTCAATTCATCAAATAAGTTTTCGATTACAAAAACCTGTGCAGCCATTTTAAGAGAAAGAGAAAAAATAACCGTTTGACCTCTGCTACAGCCTGAACCCTCACAGAAACAATACGTTTGCGCAAGCGCACTGCGTATATTAGCGCGTATTTATACAAAGACATGCGTACACGATTGTCTTTAGCGATTAGTTACCAAAACCATGAAAGGATTGGCTTAATAAGTTTGTCCTTGCTTTTGTACTATTTATCAAGCTGTGCATAAGGCAGTATGTGAATTAGCGAGACAGAGGGCTTCTAGGGCCAGCGTCATAATAGTTGGACAACTGGGAACTGGAAAAACACGCCTTTGCCGAAATCTGCTGGGGGAAGAGTTCACTGAAGAAGATCTGGTGACGAATGGTATTGAGGTGTCCGGTTGTGTTCTGGAGAAACACACAGCAGGACGCACCTTCAAAAGACAAGGTGACACACATTACCCTCCGCCTTTTAATACACCAAACTGAATAAAACACATCATATATTAAATGTATTAGCATTTAATTTTTTTAAAATCCCACTTATCCCTCGCTTGCTTATTTATATATATCCTCAACATCATTAATGTTTCAAGCAACATTTAAGAACAAAACTAGAACACGCAAAGCTTTAACATAATGCACGTTAGGACATGTGTTTATATGTGTGTTCTCTAGGCAAATGAAAAAAACAATACCTTATTTTGATAAATTCATTTTGCAGATGAGTCATTTAGAGAAAAGTATTACATCGAAACACTTGCCAGGGGCATCAAGGAGTGCAGAGGAAAAAGTATGTTCTCCCTTTCTAATAAAGTATTTGATTTACAGGCTTAAGGGTTCTGATATTTTTGAAAAGTTTATAAATTTACTAAAATACGATCCGCTACTCTGTACTGCTACATTTTTTCAGTATTTGTAGATTTTTGGACCAGTCAATTCCGTTCAGGAACTTTTGATGGGTATCACATAACCGTTCATTCACACAGCAAGAAAGCTAACGTCAGTAAACCAAAGTATATAAACATATTTTTGATCTTATAGGGCCAATACCAAACTCGTCCCGTGGATACATTGTGTTAGAAGAAGGCGTCAAATTCGATATATTTAGGCAGATGTTTGAAAAGAGCAAAGGAGATCCAGTTGTTCCGGACACTCTGACACTCTGGGACTTTGGCGGTCAGTATGTCTTCTACACGACACATCAAACCCTTCTCACCTGGCGAGCTGTCTACTTACTGGTGTTTGACCTCACCAAGGAGTTAAATGACCCTGTTCACGTGGAGCGAGTTGGCAGAACTGGACGTAGACCAGTGGATAGCGTGCCAGGCACTGTTGGTGGTGTGTAGTTATTATTGCATTATAAAACATTGTTCAAAGAGGTTGTCCCAACCCCAATTTCATGAGTTAATTGCTAAATAGTTTCTCACCTTTTGATTTTTATTAGGTCTTTTATCAGAGGTTTACCTCAAAGATATGCCATTCCATATACATAAAAACATTCAATTAATTTTGAAGTTATATTTTATGTTACATGCCATTTCATAGTATATTGCATTCAAATGTGTTCATTCATTATAAAGAGACCCTCATCAAAAATAAGGCGTCTGATGTCTAAATGCTCCCTTTCAGGGTTTTTGAGATTCTGGCTAGATTCAATCCATGCTCATACTGAAACAGTAAAACGAGAAAACCTTGGATTGGTGGATATTTGTCCCAAAATCTTACTAGTGGGGACACACAAAGATAAACTTGGGGAAACCGAAGAGGTAGGAATTCAAAGACATGTATCATATATATATTTCATAGCCATTGATAAGAAAGTAATGAAGAATACGGTCGCCCTTCGCCCAAATTACTGTCCTTATTTACTGCCCTACATACATGTAAATTATGTTGGGTAATAGACCAATCTTCAGAGTTAGGCGACTTAATTAATTAACATTTACACAAATGCCATCTTAAGGATTGTGATGTTCTTTAAGATGTTCTTAGATTCAAACCAACAAGACACCAAGTCTGATTTCCCAGCACCATACTTTATTTTCAAGTCTCCAGTATTCTCCCGATATCACAACACTCACAACACTGATATTCTCTAACACAATACTGAGCTACTGCACATTTACTACATCTCTCCCTCTTGAGATATGCACCACAATGACTTTAAATGTGCAATTTTTTTTCTTTTTACTTATATAATGACATAACTAAATAAACTAAAATGTTACAAATACTCAGAGGCACTCTAAAGAATCACTTCAGAGTGTAAACAGATCAACAGTTCTCATTAATCCTTCAACAGTCCTTGGTCATCTTACATGTAAGACAATATGTCTCTAGAAAATTTTAATGACAGTAATATTTCTCAGTCAAGTGTAAGTTAGTCTCTCAGGTGCTTTGCGCTCCCTTTGTGGATATCTGCGAAATGGTTGTTTATCAACAGTAGGACTAGCCTCAACATCATCAGATACAAATGTACTGCTAGCTTCAGATTTGTCAGGTAATTTTGCATCACTATTGTCCATTGTATCACCTGATTCATGCTCAATTTGAACAGGTTCTGAATAAAACCTTTGCTCAGGTTGCTCAAATTCAGTCTTTGTTTGATTATCAGATTCAACATTTTCTCTCGAAGGTAGTGTCACATTAACTTCATCAGAAAATGGCATTTCATTTGAAACAGTGGGACCAATTATATGATCAATATGCACAAAGCGTTTCGATCTGCCAATTTGTACAACATATGTCTGAGGTCCACAAACTTTCACAATGCAACCAGAAACCCATTTCTCTTGCCCCCCTCTGAAATTGCGAACTCTGACCTTATCATACAGGTTAAAGTGACGCGACTTGGGACGTTTGTCATGATACTGACATTGCTTTTCCTGTTTTGTTTCAACAGACATAGAAAGGCTGGGTTTCAAAAGAGAAAATTTTGACCTAATCTGACGCTTCATGAACAATTCAGATGGACTGACACCAGTTGTTGAATGCGGAGTTATTCTATACAGCATCATTAACTGGGATAATCTCAGACTGCGGGAACCTTCCCTATTCTCTAACATATGTTTTGTTAGCCCTTGTTTGATAACTTGCACTGAACGCTCAGCGGCACCATTCGTGCTTGCATGGTACGGAGGTATAAGTTTGTGATTTATTCCATTCATTTCACAGAATTTACGAAACTCCCCTGAGGTAAACTGTGGTCCATTATCTGACACAATAATCTCAGGCAAACCTGCTCTTGCAAACCACGAACGTAAAACATCAATTGTTTTCGAAGCAGTAGTAGATTGCATTTCTTCTACTTCTATCCACTTCGAATATGCATCAATCAGTATCAAATAAGAACGATTGTCTTTCTCAAAGAAATCAATATGGACCCTCTCCCACACACGTGAAGGGAAAGACCATGGGATCAGTGGTGCAACAGCTGGCAAGGCTCTGTTTGATTGACATTCATCACATCCAGAGACCAAAGACTCAATTCCAGAATCTAGTCCAGGCCACCACAAGTACCCTCTAGCTAAGGACTTCATTCTAACAATCCCATGATGTTCTTCGTGTAATTCACGAAGTAAACGGTCACGATAACAAGGTGGTATGATGACACGTAATCCCCAAAGTATGCAACCTTGGTCAACAGTAAGTTCATTTCTGCGTCTAAAGTAAGGCATCAAAGAATCATCTTTGACATAGCTTGGCCAACCATTAAGAGTGAAATCATACACTCTGGACAAGACTGGGTCCTTCATAGTGGCTTTGCTAATATCACTCGCTTTCACAGGTAATTCTTCTGTGAAAGACACACAATGGACAACAAACTCGTTATCCTCACTAGGCTCAGAATTTTTATTTGGTAACCGTGAAAAGCAATCTGCACTTGCATTGTCAGCAGACTTTCTATATTTTATCTTGTAATTGTAAGCTGACAGAATCAAACTCCAGCGTTGCATTCTAGCTGCAGCTAATGACGGTATACCAGTATGTGAATTGAATATTTTCACAAGAGGCAGATGGTCTGTAATAAGAGTAAACTCTCTTCCATATAAATACATGTGGAATTTCTTCACACCAAATATGATGGCTAAAGCCTCTTTCTCAATTTGAGCATAATTCTTTTCTGCTTTAGAAAGAGTACGAGAGGCTGTTTCAATGGGGCGTTCAGAACCATCTTCCATAATATGACTTATGACTGCACCAATCCCCACTGATGATGCATCACAAGCTAATACGATTGGCCGTTTTGGATCATAGGGTGTGAGACATGACTCTGCAGAAATAGCAGACTTGGCAGCATTAAATGCAGCATCACACTCCTTTGTCCAGTTCCACTCTACATTTTTGCTTAAGAGCCTGTTTAGTGTGGACACCTGAGTAGACATGTTCTTTATGAATTTCCCATAAAAGTTTAACATTCCCAGGAATGACTTGAGCTCTGAAACATTTTCAGGCTTGGGCATATTCATGATATTTTCTATGTTCTTGGCACTTGGATGTATACCACTTTCATCCAGTGTATGACCAAGAATATCAATACGTTTCTGAATGAAACTACACTTTGACAAACGCGCACGGATATTGTACTGACGGAGTCTCTGCAGCACACGTTGTAGTGCTATGTAATGTTCTTCTACTGTGTCAGTAGTGATGAGTATATCATCAATAGAACAAGCAGCCTCCTCAATACCATCCAACACTTGATCCATAACGCGTTGAAACTGCTGCGGAGCAGTCGTAATACCATACGGCATTCGCTCTGGGCGTAACAAACCAATCAAAGTGTTAATCGTGAGATATTGTTTTGACTTCTCACTCAATTTTAACTGGGAAAATGCTTCGCGCAAATCTATTTTAGATCTGAATTTCCCTTTTGCATGTTTGGCTAGTACTGACTGAATAGTTGGGAGTGGATATGGGTCTTTGTCTAGTACTGTATTAACTGTGACCTTATAGTCACCACATAACCTCAGATCCCCTGATGGTTTTACAACAGTGACTTGTGGACTCGCCCACTTACTACTTTCTACTTTGGTATAATGACCCTTCTCAACTGCCTCCAACAGCTGAGATTTGACCTTATCTTGCAGAGGGTAGGGTACACTATAAGCTTTCTTGAATATGGGAGTTGTACCTTCAGGAATGTAAACATCTGCTTCAAAACCTTTGATTGACCCTTGACTTGGAGCAAATACATCTTTGTATTGTGACAGAAGTGACTTTAACTTTGGGTCACTCTGTACAGAAAAGACATTGGACCAATCTAACTTTATTTTCTCTAACCAATTTTGCCCCAACAATGCAGGTTTAGATCCCTCCACCACTACTAATGGTAGGTCTACAGACTGGTCATTGTAACTCACTGTGACTGTTATTTCCCCCAATAAATTAAGAGGATTGCCGCAATAAGATGTGAGATGCAAATCTGATTGACGTAAAGGGTGATCTTTGAACTTTGATTCATACAAATCTTGACCAATCAACGTGACAGACGCACCAGTATCTAGCTCAAAGTCAATAGACTGTGAGCTAACCTGTAAAGCAATAATATACTTGCTACATTTATTTTCATTTACAGTACTGATAGGAGCATGATCAGGTTTTGTTTTGTTCTCTTTACTTCTGCATTTGATTTGGAAATGGTTCAACTTGTTACATTTTCTGCAGATTTTACCCTTGGCAGGACAAACTCCTTTGTGTGGGTACTCTCCACCGCAGAACCAACACTCCCTGAAACCCTGTTTTGGCTGTGTTTTGGACTTGTTATGACTTGGCTTGTGTGGTTTAGGTGCTTGGGCTTGTGCTGATTTTTTCACGGCATAGACTGTGGTAGGACTGGTATCGCCCTCCATAATATGGGACCTTTGTTCAGACAGCTCTAAAGCTCTAGCATGTGTAAGCAAGTTATTCAGTGTGAGAGTCTGGTCACTAAGAGCTTTTCTTCTCAACTTATGGGATGTACATCCTTGTATAATTTGTGACTTAACCTCTCTGTCCAAATTTTCAAATCCACAGTTGGCTCCTATTTGTCTTAGTTTGATATGGTATGAATCAATGGTTTCACTAGGTTCTTGCTTACAGCTTCGAAATTTGTAAATTTCAAACTCAGGATTATGATGAGGTCTTACGTACTGTCCAAAAGAAGCTACCGCATCTTCATATGAGTCCCCTCTGTCTGGCAGATTCTCAAAAATGTCTAAAAATTCCTCACCAGCTAAATGTAAAAGCATGGCTCTCTTCTGTTGCGAGTTTTTGATGTTCAATGCAACCATGAGGTTTTCAAATCTTTCCTTCCATTTTCCCCATCTTTTAAAAACGGTGTTCGGTTCCTGTCTGATGATGAAAGGTGGAAAAGTTGGTATATGCGTCAAGTTTACTGCTTGGGGTTCTTCCTCCTCCATAATTCCTTGTCGCCAATGTGATGTTCTTTAAGATGTTCTTAGATTCAAACCAACAAGACACCAAGTCTGATTTCCCAGCACCATACTTTATTTTTCAAGTCTCCAGTATTCTCCCGAGATCTCAACAAATACAACACTGATATTCTCTAACACAATACTGAGCTACTGCACATTTACTACAGTTTTAATAATCGTTATTCTTACCATTTTAACCCATATGTCTGTGTATTGTGATTACTCCACACAAACTGTTATTATTATTATTGTTATTATTATTATTATTATTATTATTATAACCTCCTTCATCTCACTCTTCTCCATCTTTTAAGTCCGTTTCCCCCAGTGCAATACTATAGGAACACATTTCACAAAACTATCGATCTGTTGAGCAGTGTTTCTCAGTGCTTTAGTTGAAACCGGGCAATTGTGTTGAGCCAAAAAAATGTCGATACATGTATATACATATGTCAGTAAGTATTATATTCTGTTTATTTATTTTGTTTGAGTATTATATTTTTGTTTATTTATTTTGTAATCAGCTTAAAAACGTCTGTGAAACAGATGGTATAATATATCATTATCCGTTATTAAACAGTTGTAAAAGCCGAGGTCATAAAGTACGTTCACCAGCACAGACAGGGGGAGGAGGAGCCAGCGCCACCAGAGATACAACTACCTGACGCTATGTACAATGTGAATATTCAGGACGTGTTTAAGGTATCAGCACATACCTATAATTAAGTGGGTCCGATTATTATTATTATTTATTATTATTATTATTATTAACGATCGTTGTTGTTGTAGTTTTTATTATTAGTATCTTGTTTTATTTATTTTAATATTAATATTATTATCGTAATTATAAGTATTATGTTATTATTTCATTTTTTATCCGTATAACTCACGTCATGTCACATTGCAAGCAACCAGTGCTTCTGTCTCGATGGCAAGTTAATTATTTTTTAAGTACTCGCAGCTGCATTCTTCTGCCAGAATCGCAAACTATTTTAATGCGAATTCGATGATGTTAGAAGTCCACGTTACCATATTTTAACTTGGATTCAGCAGATAATAATAATAATTGGAAGTTTGTTCTGCAATTTTGTGGCAATTAACAATAACAGTCCCCTCTCGATAAAATTTGTTACATAATTAGTCGCTTTATTTCCCAGTGGATAAGTTGCGCCAAGTTACATTGCCGAATTCATTTATCAGTTTGAACTGCATAGGCATGCTAAAACTATTTTAAATGCAATTTTATACTTATCCACTGGGAAATAGAGCGACAGATTATGTAACAAATCGAGAGGGGACTTTTATTGTTAATGCCACAAAATTGCGGAACAAACTTCCAATTATTATATTATCTGCTGAATCCAAGCTTTAAAACATAAGACTTCGAATGAAATTCTTAAGAACCAATGTAGCTCTTTAAGACAGGTGTAATATGTTCTAGCTTTTGGTGTTGTTTTTATCTTTTCTTTACTAATCTAGCTGCTCAATATGGAATTAGGCATTGGGGTAATAAGAGCATGAACTTACTTTGTGGTTGTTTATATATCAATTACGAATCTTGCCCAATCTCCACAGTGAAAAAGGTGCTGACTTACAAATATTGTTAATTTGCCTTTCAAAAAAAAAACCGGCTGAATCAAACAAATACACCTTGGTCTCTCATACTGGCAGTTGGTTTCACAGACACATCAGCAATACGAACGTTTATCTTCTTACAGAGCACAAAGAAGTTCGATGTCGTTCCTGACAAGAGCAGGGTGTACGTAGGCCGCACACAGTCTTCTTGTGACGTCAAACTAAGGGAAAATGAGGAGTATTTATTAAGAGGTATGCTAGGGAGAAGAGGAAGAGGGGACATGGAGCATATTTGGCAACTCTATCTCCGTTTTATCATTTGAAAATCAATTACTCGTTATCCTGCACACTCAACCATTGGAGCAAAATTATTTATTTATTTATAATTTATTGAATTGTATATTGATTCATTTGTGCTTATTCATTTGTTCATTTATTTGATTGGTTGTTTATTTATTTATTTGATTGTTTATTTGTCTCTAGTGCACTCACCCCAAACATGCGTTTCAGAAAAAAGTTTGTCGAAGCATCTGTTTCATTATTATTATTATTATTACCATTATTATTATTATTAGGGCATGTGCGTGGCGGTCGCCTGCTTCTCCCAGGCTTCTGTAGCTTTGGAAAGCCGTGGGGTCTCGTGAAGTCTAAAAGGCAGGAATACCTGAGAGAAGAAGGCTGCGACGGTCGTAAGGAAGTCAGAAATTGAGAAAGTGTAAATAAAGGAATTGCGTGGGATCGTAAGGAACAAGGATAAGACGGACATTGTTCAAAGGACAGGCGTTCGATTAATTGCTTATTGATCGATGTTTTATATAACCGTTTATGTATGTATAGCTCTGCTTATCATGCATTTTCAATATAATCAAACAAAAATACTTAATCCAATACGCCCTGTCTGATTTGTTTTTATTTTACTAAGAACTATAACACATTTCAAGCTTATAGAGATCAGAAATAAAAAATAAATAAAAAGCAATTTGGCAGAAAATAAAAATAACTTTTCAGAATAACCATTCCTTTTCTCAAATATAGCAACATGCTTTATGGTGACAAATTTTATAGTGACGTAATAAAACGTTAGGATAATGCTGAGTGAAAACGTAGGTCTACAAATTTCTAATGACTTAAAGCTGCAAGTTCTTATTTACGTTATGTTATTTATGTTCATTTTTTTTTTCTTGTGGTTTTAGGGGGTGAATCATTTTACGTCTTCTTAAAGGAATTGTTCTATTAAAAAATCCATATCCCAAATCATGAATGAACGAAAAAAAATTGCCTTTGGTATAGCAGGTCCTTTTACATCTTTAGTATTTTCTGCCCACATTATATGTGCACGTAACAGTTAAACGAAGCAATACAATTTGTCTAAATTGACTACGAGCATCGACTGGGACGGTCAGTAGTCTTCGGTGTAAAATGAAGAGCGTGGAGTTCATGGGTGGAAGTTGAAACTGGACGATTCCTTCGGCGAAGACTGGACATTATCCTAAAGTAGCCTTCTTGCACTTCGGAAAGCCGCAACCCGTACACTACAAAGTCACAGATTGGGTTCAAGAGAAAGAGAAGATTGCTGATGCGATGGGCGAGAAGGGACTCGCTAGCCACCGGACCAGGATGCCTCCATGTGATGAATAAGGCATCTAAAATCCCTGGCGTCCAAAATACGATGAGGGTACCCACAAGCAGACCAATGGTAGTGCTTAGCCGCTTTTTCTGCTTGACAGCCCTCGCGCTCAATGGCGGTGCCTGGCATGGAGCCTCGGAATGAAGTTTGTAGCCCTCAGTTGTGTTGAACTCACTAGCATCTGCCAGTGATACCGAGGCTATCAACTGTTTCCTTGCGACGCGATACGTTAAACACAACATGGAGCATGTGAAAATAGAGAAGATGACGAAAATAAGAGCAAACATCGGTGCACGAATAGCGAGATAGTTTTCAAAATAATTATCACACACGTGAATGCAGTGACACGTGACCGAGGTATCGAAGTGGTGTGTAGGCTTTGCCGCGATGTGCAGAGCCACTGCAACAGTAAAAACTAGGCCCCATGATACAGAAATAAGCGCAAACGCTTTCCCTTTTGTCACCGTAGTTTGGTACCTCAATGGTGCCAACACTGCAACATATTGGTTGATCACAATGGCCACTGTAGCAAACAGCGGAAGCAAGTGCGATACGTAGGAGAGTTCAATAATCGTGTAAGCTACGCACAACTCTTCATACGTCGTACCGGCGTAAATATGGATTCCTGTTCCGACCAGAATGAAGGCGTCCAACGTCATATCAGCGATGGCAAGGTTCATCAGCAAAATGTGCAAAGGCTGAAAGGGTCGCTTCCCGTAGATAAGCGCAAGGAGGGACAGGGCACCTGCCAAAAAGCCCACCCCGGCCAGAGTGTGACCGGCGATGAAGAAAGCTGTGTTCGACTCGTCTCCATAACCAGTCGTAAAGTTATCCATTATTGCTACTATGTTGCGCTTTTCGACAGTAATGCTTATGCTCATGTTGGGAAAAACTGTCATTGTTTTCATACCAGCCATGAGTCCAAATAACTAAAATGCTGCTCTGGGTTTGTGCAGGATAATTTGCTGCTATATATGCTACACCCCTGTAGTATTTATAGAACCGAAGGGCATAACCTCACCTTACCCATAGAATCGTCTGCAATCTCTAGATCTGGAGAATAATACGGAAATTAATCCACGAAAAAAGTCCATCGGAATTTGTGTAATCCCTTCTGTGTATTAAGCATTCTCTTGTACGCTGAAACCCACAGGACTTTGCAACTTTGAGCATTGTTTGCCGCCCTGGGCTTTTTTTATCTGAAATGAGTCACGCAATCCAGTTGTCTATTTTATATAATGTTTCCATTGAATTTAAATAGCAGAGATTTTACCGTTAGTTTGGCAGTCCTGTTACCCCTATGTTATATCTCCAATATCAGTGGCGACGCTATTTTCTCTTGTGCGCCATTTAAAGTGCTATCAAATCCAATCAAATCCTTGATAAGCCTACTGGTAATAACATTACATCCTTACTGTTCAAAACGTATTTCCTCTTATCTCATTTCTCTTTCCAATAATATTCTCTGACATATAAGAGAAAAACAGCTTTATGAATGCGGCACTATTCCTGGATGTAGTAAGTTAAGGAGATTCCAAGATACAAATACACATGCTAAATACACATCATCCTGAAGTAGGTGTTAAAAGGTTAAACCAATTCCGAATCATGTCACTGTTCATCAAGTTCCAATAATGTTCGATGCACTGGCATCAACGAAAGCCCGGTTAAAAGGAATAGCTCCCACTAGTCCTGCTAGTATACAATTTGCTAAGTCACTAAATATAGAAGACTAGAAACCGGCTATTTCCATAGCCGACGCTTACCTTATTAATGCCAGACTGATTAATGTTTCAAATAACTTGTATCCGCAGATTTAGTTCCTTGGCAATGCCCCAGTTGGCTTTGTCCGCTGCAGGCAGATTTTGCGTTAATGTCTTTATTGAAGCAGCGTCCCTTCATTGGCTGGTGGGTTGAATTGATTCTGGTAGTCGCACTTAATGACTCAGGGAGAGACATTAAGCTGCAGGTCTACTTTGACCGTGACAGAGCTCTCTTACACAACCCTAGTTCCTCTTTTCCTAGTGTGAACATCCGGTTTTTCGGAGTGTAAATGCAAACATATGGAATAGTAGTAGTTTTCACCCGGGATGCTGTCGCTTTATACACTTGACTACTTGTACTTGCACTTCCGCAGTACGTTAGAATCCACTTGCTATTAAAAGTATTTGAATACTTGAACTTAATTATACTTCCCATCTTCGGTGAATTTCAGGGAGACGGCACACAAGACATAACCCTGCATGAATACCAGAGGAATGACGATGCCGCTTAGAGCATCATTATGTCCAAGAGTAGAAGACAATTATTTCCTCACTGGTTTAACTTGAAAAACTAAACTGTACAGATCCTTGTCACCTAATATTAAAAACAGAAACAATTTCTGCAGGTTTTTAAAAAACACAATGAATTCATACAAGAAAAGCGAATACAAGGACAAACAAATATTTAAAACATTGCATGCGGATTGGATGACATAAATTCCACGTGCTCATGTCGTGAAATAGATTACTGCCAAACAAATCAAGACAATGACTTAATGTTTTCACGTGGGACGTACTACATGTACGTGCGCAAAACAATGCGATATCATTATGAGTGTGCGCCCATACGCAGGCAAAAAATGCTTCCAGTTTGAAATTCGGTCGAAGGAACATTACATTTTCTACGAAATTAAGAGCAGGGCACCGAGCAACGCACGTGTCCCAGAAATGAGAAAATTTACTAATGATACAAAGTGAAAAGCAACTACTCATGTCTCATAAATATTTCACGGTTTACATGGCACCTGCATGCATCATTCATCAAACGCTTATTACATTCTAGGAAAATCTCAACCAGCGTGGCATATACTACATGATGTTTAATTATCATTTTTTAAATATATTTGAGAATTAACAATTCCGTTTGAACCAGAAGTTAATCATACTCAGGGTACAATAAGTGCGGATTGAACCAGACTTGATTGAGGATGTCATTAATCACCGTGGTCGGATTCCAGAAGGATTTCTAATTTAGAAAAATAATAGCTCATTTCATGGCTAATCACCCCGTCTAATTATTGTAGTCCCCTTGATTAACGTTGACCACGGTTTGGGTGATTGGTGATTCCAGCTTTCCAAATGCGAGACAGAATCATAGTATATGCGGTTACAGTTTGGTCATTTAAAATCCGGCCATTGGCTCCAATATTGGAACCAGGTACTGACACCCTTCAAAGATCTATTTGGAAACACGCACAGCTTTGAAAACCTAAGAATCATCACAGCATGGTATTCTTCGCAGGCTTTACCGACTCGTTGCTTTCATGATATAGTCATGTGTACCCGGCAAACACAGGGCGTAAAAAGAACGCTACTATGACGTTTATGTGTCCAAAAACGCTATGAAAACGTTATGGAAACGTTACACAACACTCTGTGTTTGATGAGTATTGAGATCCCACATCGTCTGTTGCCACTGGATATATATTCAACGGTTAATTACCATTTGTTGCAGTCTTACCCCTTTCTGTATGTAACGATTACTAAGCCTTGGAAAACATATTTATTACGATATAAACGAGCAGTCTAACTGGTCAGATATTTACGCTGTTTGTCAACTGATCGCGATTCCTTCGGCCGTTCAGCCAGTCCACAAAAAAGAGTAATCTACCAGCTGACATTAAGATAGCATTTACATATAAAAAAAAGATCAAAGAAAGTGAAATATCACAACTGGACCCCATGTGAATGTTTCTTTTCCTTTGCCATTGTGTATCGATTCACATCAAATCTGACGACATTTAATTTGATGAGAAACTCTGGAAACATGCTGATTCCGCCCCAAGGTGGGATTTTATTTCTGATCAAAATCTGCTACCTTATTCAGACGAACACCTTTTCAACATCAATTAACATCAAATTTGACGACATTTGATCTGATGAGCGAAGCTGGAAACATGCTGATTTCGCCACAAGGTAGGATTTTATTTCTGATCCAAATCTGCTGCCGCATTCATGGTGGCAAATTTTCTGGTTAATTTGATCGCTGAAGAGCTGTTTGTGTCTCAGATGATTGAATAAAGTCTCGAGAGTGAAGGAGTCGGTTTCATCCAGTTCTGCTCATAAGCGTTGATTTTGTTTGTTCTGAAGATCAGATAAACATCAGCGTTAACGTAAAAGAGCATTTGCACGATCAGGCATGTTACCATATTTATACTTTTTCCATCTTTCGTATATAAACCGCACTATAACTGACGCTACACAAAAGTATCTTTGCCTATATCCAACTAAGAAAAAGAACAGATGATTATCATCTTTACACTATTATGTTGAAGGACAAAGTCTCCCGGTTATAATCTCACTTCTATTTTAGGAAAGGAAATGCACAAAAACGTAACATCAGCTTTCAAAGTCAAACAGCACACTTAATCATAAAATACCGATTAATTAATTTTTGGAATTCAGGAATTTTTATTTCAGGAATTTTTATTTAGCACATATAAATAAATTCTGTCCATAAAAAACGAGATCTTAAATCTAAATGTCTAATTCCACCGTAATTGTAATTCTACCTTACTTACGAGAGACACTCGACACTAGAACCTAAGACCTCAAAAATGGGTTCGTATGTCTGAATTTTTTCAACGGTATTGGATATAGTTATTAAGGGAAAATCTCAGGGAAATATATATGCTTGCTAAATAAACGCCCAACAGCCATATTGTTCTTTTGAACTCACTTGCCACTCAGACAGGTTGCATCCTCTACATCATTCATCTTGGCGCTGCAATTGCCCAGAGGTGATACTAGACACAGGAATGAGCCATTATCAAGGGTTTCTATTTCTGCCCGGTAATGAAGTTACTTCTTCAGTCAGTCAATAGCTTTGATAAGTTGAGCTGAGGCTCATTAATGTTTGCGAAGGCTTTATTGCCGTTCGATTGATATGACTCCGGACTTTCTGCCGGGTTTCATCACTTATCTAAGTCAATGAATCGAGATTAATCTCATCCACGCGGCAGAGACAATGGTAAAAGAAATGTCGTTGAATTACTGAAATTGCATTTTTACCCTTTAATGTATATATTGTGTAATCACTTCTAATTTTTGCCAACTCATTTAAAAGACAAAAGGTCGTCAGGAGGTAGGGTGTTTTTGATTATTTATAAACATTTTTTCTGTCCATTAGAGTATTCTATATACAAGTAAATATGACCTTCGAAATTTTCAAACTGCGTCAAAAAAGCAATACGAGAGTCACCATGAATTCTAGTTTTTCATGATATCCTGATAGGATGATAAATTGTAATTATTCTTTTTTCCCACAGGGAGCTTTTAAGAATTTAAAAATGGTGATTTCGCAGCCGTTTTTGACTGATGTTATTTATTATATTAGTAAGTGTAGTCATACTACACGTATTTCCAGCTAGTGATAATGTACAGGGATAAATGGTAATAAATAAATAAATGAATGAATAAATGATAAAAAATAAATGAATAAAAGTGAAAACTACATATAAATATGCATAAGCATTATCATTTCACATGCATATGGAGTTTTTCATTATCATAAGCTAGGTGCGGTTTTAAATAAAAAATAGTACTATTCTATCAGTACACTACGAGCTGCAGCAGTACATCAGTACTGAATAAGACACCATTGTTCTCATTCCAAACTAACACAAAATAAAGGTGTCAGATATTGGCATATTGGCAAATATTCCTTTTATTAAATGCTGTAGCGGAGTATTCATCATTTCGTTCCACGTTTATGTTTCTTTTGAAGTACGGTGTGCCTGGGTAATTATAATTATCATTATGACACGGTTAGACCATTTGATGCATCATATACCTTAATAATCCAAACAGTTATCACAGCAATGACGGGAAATGACATACGAAAGTCTTTCTCTGGTTTTCCACCATCAACATCGAGATAGTACCATAAACTTGCAGTGGCGGAGGGAGTCGGGGGGGGGGGAGGGGTTTGACAACCTCCCCCCCTTTCGATTTCTGAAAAAAATACACCAGTTGTCCCCTCTTGAATTTATAACTTTGACTAGCTGAATCATAGTTCTAAACAGTACCAAATGGCACCGTTCGCCGTCTAAATTACCCAAGATTTTCGGGGCATTTCGGGGGGGCCCGAGTCCCACAGCCGGTGGGGGGGGGGGAGGTGAGGCGAGGGGTGGCTTCACATCCGTGGCCTGTCATTCCTAAAAAACGGACCCCATTCAAATAATCTTGGATCGGCCCCTGAACTTGGTCCTTTGACAGTCCATATTTTCTGTGTTTATAATTGGGGAAAAAAGGAAAAATTAGGCCGTGGTTAGATATCGTAAACTTTTTTTTTTCACAAAAGCACTTAACCACTGGTCTTAGGAAATTATGGTCAGAATCTTAGTCGGTCCAGGGTTAGTTTCGAAAGGGTTCTATTGGTCGCTATTTATCTTATACATTTTCATTTATTCACCATATTTATTGATACTTAGATTTAACCAAAAAGTCTCCTTTTTGTTGAAAAATATCAAACCATTGCCACATACACGTACATGTATTTGTTTGACCAAGGAGTTAACTGCTAGTACGTGGTTTGACTGCCTAGAAAACAGATTCTTGTTCCTGAAAGAAGTTTACAGTTACAACACAAAAATCGATAATCTTAAGCATAAGCCATCTTTACAAAATAATCAGATAATAACTGCATACTTGGTATTTTCCGGAATCTCAGTTATGGCAATAAAACGTCAACAAGCTGTCTACTTTGGTTTTGATTATGACACACGCTTGCGCACTGTTGATCGGTTATTCGCTCACTGAATGCCGTTATATCAGTACATGTATTTGTATATGGTTTATGATTGATTCAGTTTTGTCGGTATATGATAAGTCTTACAGGTTTTGGCCAATGATAAACTCAGAAGTGATTACTACTCATTTATTTAACCCTCAAGAGACCGAGCTATTTTATTGACTGAAATGACCAAGTGGGGTCATCTATGACCCCATTGTGCTCTGTACAGGGATCCTTATTATAAAAGGCTGGTTGGGGGTTTATCACACCTATACTACTCCCTGTATTTAAGACATGTGTTTTATAATGATTTAATGTAATAAGTATTTGGTAATAATACTTTTATTGCAAGAAATAACCAAACAGATTTTAAGAACAACATTACGTTTATTTAAACAGTCCTTGTCAGTTCCCACTTGCAAAAACATTTTTTTTTTGCCACACTAAATGAAAATGTATATTATGAAAAATAAATTTGAGTAAAATTACATTGAGCTAGCATCCTGCTAACGTCAAAAAAAAAAAAATAAATAAATAAATAAATAATAATAATAATAAGCCGACTTGCTGACTGGGGAATACGCTAATACTGGTAAGGATGCCATCCTACTCAGCCTATGTTACTACCAAACCTGTGTATCAAACAAGATCACACAAACATCTTGTTTGTATATGTGTAATATGATATCGACAAAATTCATTAAATACCTGAAAATTATAACTGTCAAAATGAGGGTCCCAGTTATGAAAACAAGTTCCAAAAAAGCCACTGAAATTAGATTTAGCGACGCATTTCAAACACAATCTTCACAAACCACTTGTTTGTGGCTATGTTCTGGGCACACTGGCTGGTTGCACGAAGCACATGCATGTGACACTTTCCTGTCAGTGTTGCGTGGGCAAAACGAACAGCGCTTGCGTTTGCTAGGTACTGCAGCAACTGCGGGCTGCTCTGCACGGTTAGCAGGACCAACACCAATGCTTGCCATTGCTTCCCTAGTTGCTGAATGGAGGTTTGGAATCTGTGACCTTTTCTCTACATGTGGCTTTACCAGTTCATACCCAAGCTCTCTGAGAAAGACACGACGCCTGTGGGAGCCCTCTGAAGATTTCCAATCAGGGAAGTTTCCGAGCCAGATAATGAAGGCAGCGATTCCTGCAATGTCTACCATGTTGAAGAATAAGACCATTGGCCATCTGTTGATCTTGCGTCGAGAGGTGTGCATTCTTGCCAAGTGGTCAAGGTTGTCTACCCCGCTCTTTGTGTTATTATAATGCAGGATGATGTCTGGCTTTTGCTGATCGCCACTAACACTGTTGTCATGGTGCATGGTTGAGAGTGCCAAAACTGCCTTTCCTCGAGCTGGTACATAGGAAACTAGGGTAAGCTGGTCATGGAATCCAAACATTGAGCTATGCTCCTCTTTCCTGTTGTTTGCTTTCATTTCATCTGGGACATGGGGTTTGTTTGACCTTATAGTGCCCACATAAGTAAGCCCATCATTCAAGAGCCCTTCAGCAAGGGGGACTGAGGTAAAGAAATTGTCAGCAGTGACATTTCTTCCACTTTTGTACCATGGAGATGTAAGATCTTTGACAACTCTTGCCCCTTGGCCAACCTCTCGCTGTTCACCTGGTTGCCTACCTAGGTATATGTCTCCTTTCAAGGGGTAGCATGTTTCAGCATCACAGTTCCACCATATCTTTATGCCATACTTAGATGGTTTAGAAGGGATGTATTGCCTGAAACTGCACCTGCCTCTGAAAGCTACTAACTGTTCATCTACACAGAGATCAGTACCAGGGATGTAGTATTTGGGTAACTGAACTACAAACATAGTCCAAATGTCTCTGAAAGCAGCAAGCTTATCAATGGCCTGTCTGTCTGCTCTGGTTGCTCTGTTATCAAATCGCATGTATTTCAGAATGTCTCTGAACCTAGTTCTGGACATTGTGGCCTTGAAAACTGGTCTTCCATCTGACTGAGACCAAAGAGAGGCCTGTGGTTCATGGTTATTTTTGTACAACCCTGCAATAATGCAAAGCCCAATAACTGCCTTGATCTCAGTACCATCAACTGGTTTCCATTGTTCCTTTTGATTCTCATGGTGATTGTCATTCCAGTCTCTTATCTTTTGTCTAGCCTCTCTGTTGGTTTCCAGAGCAATAAGATCTACCATCTCAGGTGTAATGAAGAATGAAAACACTGACGGTATGTTATCACATCGTGCTGCATTAGTTATGCCCGGTGTATTGCGGATGATGTCCTGCATGCGGCGACGACCTGCTGGAGGAGGATTTCTCTCCCAGATTGTTCCATTTTTTCCTGTGTATGGCCTACCCTGGTCAGGCATATCATCGTTTCCCACAGGCTGATCATCTGGTTGGAGTGCTTGTGGCAACGGGTTTTGGCCACGGCCTCTTCCACGGGCTCGCCCACGTTCTCGGCCACGACCTCTACCTCGAGCTCGTCCCCGACATCTACCTGCCCCCCTTGCAGGCAAATCTTGATCATCAGCATGAGGTGCTGCAGCTACTGGAGGGACCTCAGATTCTATATCAGAATGGTCTGACATCTCAGAGATATGATCATCATCATTGTCAGATTCCGGCTCATCTCCATCAATGGAGCTGTTTTCATCATCACTTTGGGCTTGAAGTATTAGTCGCAATGCTTCAGCACCTGTAAATCTTGCTACCCTAGGTCTGTTGGCCATGTTTCATTGCAGTACAATGTCAAGTACTTATTAGAAGTGTAGCATATGAATAAAATTTAAAAAGCAATGTTTAAAAACCAATGCTTCTCTTTGGGGTCATAAATGACCCCACAAGAGTTTGTGATGTATACGCCACACTAATTGGTTGATCCCTACAAAAAACTGTGAAAGTGTGTAGGATTAGTAGACTGACAAACTCATGTGAGGAAAAAAAATTCGGATAAAGAATAAAGAGATGGCACATTAAATCATATGGCTGGGGTCGTAAATGACCCCACACGGTCACTTGAGGGTTAAACGAGGTCTCCTTATATAAGCTGACGTTATGAGTTACTATTCATTCAGCCAAGAGTCAAACTAGTAAACGTGTACAGTGTATAACGATCATTGTGATTTTTATTTTCGGGGTTGTAGTTTTTGATATTATTTATTCACATATACTGTTGGAAATGTGTAAAAAATATGTTAAAATATGTTATTGAATTGGTGCGGAAATTACAATAAAAGCCACAGGGTGTTAACACGCTTACTTCAGTTTGGCCTCTGTGGCAAGTAGTACAAGCTTTAATTGTTGTTGTTTTTTATTTGAATCAATAGTGAAGAATTTACAAATTGTTTATGTTCGTTTGAATAGATGAATAAAAACATAACGAACATTTGGCTTACAAATGAGCATAGATGTTGTCGGTTAGCCAAATTCGAAGCAGATATTTGATATTAGACTAGAATTTCTTCGCATTTTTGAATCGGAGTCATATGAATAACATCCAACGTGTGAATACATTACGTTAATAATTCACACACACACGCACACACACACACACACACACACACACACACACACACAGTTCGGCAAGGGGCAGTTTACTCACAAACCATGGCGATGCGAATTGTCAGCAGGGGGAAAGGTTTAAGTACAGGTCTTTGTAGCAGCGAGAGCTTCATGAAGAGAAGTATTTCAATTAAAGAGCTATATTGTAGCATGGGGGCATTTCACCTTGTTAAAACACATTATTATGTTGTCAAGGTACACTTGGATCAAAAAACAAAACAAACATTTCTTCAATTCTCGGTTACAGACATTTTTCCTCCACCGAGAACGTGTTATTTTATTTAATCGTTTGTTAATAAAAAAAGTCAAAACAAATATAAATATATGAACAGATCTAATTAAAACTTTTAATAAATATAAGAAATGGGCAAGCTTAAATTTTATAACATTTGGTGATAATCAATGAATTAACAGATTAATTAATTATGAGAAAAGAATACCATAGAGGAGGTCTCTAGTTTAATATATATATATATATATATATATATATATATATATATATATATATATATATATATATATATATATATATATATATAAGGCTAGCCGAGGGACACAGATCCGTAGACAAAACGAACATTGAATAAATTCACAGTTAAAAAAAACGCACTGTATGAATGCATTTTAATATGTTCAACTAACGTATGGTCGCCTCTCCATAGCACCCCACAAGCCGGTAAAGAATTTCAAGATGCGCATTCGTTTGGCTACTTCAAGAATTCTTAATTACCTAGTTTTCATGTGAGCGAGGAAAGAAGGCGTTGGATGATAAATTTACACTTATGAAACTGCCTTATCAAATTGATTGCAGATCACAGCTTATTAGTCTAGTGGGATTTCCACAAAATATGAATAATAGGGGCATTTTGGGGTAAAAGTTGGGAACCAGGCTTAATAGCATAATTTTGAGATGCTGAATCCGATTAACCCGGTTCCCAAGCGAAATTTTGCGTTTTTGTCCAACGGGAGATTAAATGTTGCATCATACGCAATCAAGACCTATAAATGTTCTTATTTTGTTCCATACGGTTAATATTCATCGATGAAATGACGCCATGCAGCTGTGACTTGAAAACAGCGGAAATCAACAACCTGGGCCGACTTTCACGAAACGTTTCGCAGGTTGCGCATTCGCTATGGTTTGCGCAATTGCGCTAATTTTTTTTGCGTAGCTTTCTCGAAACAATTCGCAATTTTTTTCGCTGTTAGCGCACGACGTCGTGCCCGGAAGTAAATATTGTAATCTCGAAACACTGCTCTTCGGGCCGCGGAGGCAAGGAATATGACAACAAATGCTCGTGCTCTGGATGTGTAGAACGCCGTTTGTAGGCCTACAAAAATGATTAAAGTATCATTTTGAAAAGATTTTTTTGGGGGGGAGGAGGTGCTAACATTATTTTGAGATAGTCACTTTCAACATTTGAGAGAAAAGTATTTTTTACAAAAGTCGTTTCATCATTTTGCTTGTCGAGTCTTATCGTTTTGAGATACCGACATAAAATATATTTAAAAATATTTCAAAAATGCATAAAAAGTAAAGGCGTCTTATTAAACATAAAGATTAGTGATGGTTGACGTGGATGCATATGTCGTCTAAATTCACCTGGGGCTCGCAAATGGCCGTCCCGCAACCGCCTGATATGAGAGTCTCCATAGAGGAGAATAATCGGTCCACCTTGCTTTCCAGACATGGTTAGAGTGATGGATACACTTGCACTTGCTTTTATTCGGACACTTGGGTTGCAAACATTATAGTTATCCCATTATCTTTGATCTTATGAACACCTGTCCCCATCTTTTCATTTAAATACTGATATTGTTATTACTAATATCTTTCTTTCATCAAGATAACACTGCCATATAAGAGCACTGCTACTGTATTTAATCAAATTCCAACACTACATTTGGATCTATAAATAACATAAGTGATGCTAGAGTTATTAAATAAAACATCTTACAAAATTTCTGGTTATATTTTGGCTAATAAACAACATTTCAACAAGATATTTACTCCCGTCCCAAAGTTTTCTCATATTAGAAAATTAACCAGGTTTTGACAGAAAAGTAACACCGACTAATGCTATTGGTATGCATAGTCGGGCGTGAATTGTCAATAAACAATTGTTTTATTATTTTTACATCTGATTTTTCTGTATGCTTATGGCCGTCCTTCATTCAATTATTCTAAAAACGGAGTAGGGTAAAACCATGGATTTTTATAGACAAAAATGACTGATAGTTATATAAACTTTATTTATTGAAATAACCGCATTCAGTGCTGAGTCCGTTCTCCGCACGCTCGACTGTATCGTTGAACGCTTGTTGAATCTAAAGGCAACCTGGCTATATCGATGTTTACTGTATACTTATGAACGTTTTTTTTTTTTCCTTTTTTTCATTTTGGAAGACTAGTATACAGTAGTAAACATCGTTTTACGTGGTTTTCAATGCAACAAATGAGACAATCGATCGAGTCTGGTTCACCGTTTTGAAAACGTCTACAGACCCGCGTTCATTACGTTGTTTTTTCCAATAAAACACCATCGTTACATTTCTAACTATTATCTGATTTTACACTTCTTTCATATGGGACAACGCTTGTGGACGGTATTTATAGCTTGTGGACTGTTGTGTGGACGGTAATATACAGACTTGACATTTAATATGGAATATTTTTTTCGAAATAATTTTTTATCAGTTTTTTCCTATTTTGCGGACTGATAAATGAAAATAAGGATTAAAATCGTGTTTTAATAACTTTAAATTATCTATTTGATGTCATTGTGACATCAGTTCATTAATGGAATTCGCCAGAGAAACAAACAAAAACACATTGCCTATTCTATGTCATACGACTCCCATTAAAAGAGATATTTTGGATCTCCATAGTTTCCAAATTATCGTCTGTAAAAGGGTAATACGCTCCACAAAAGACCCTCATGTCAGTTGCTAGTCACAGTAATGGTCGTTGTTACGCCTGGCCTCTTCGTGGCTGTTGCCAGCGCTCTCAAGCGGCAAGGCATTTCTTGAGGGTAGGTTTTTAGAGTTCAATCTGGAATAGCATTCTAGGCATCGGTCTGAAATTGTCCAATCTGGTCCAGTTTTGTTGTAGGACATGTAGGCAGTTGATTGGTGAGTAATGGTCTACCGAAATATTGTCTATGCGGTTCAAATNTATAAAACTGCGGGGACCGTTCCGTTTGGCGCTATGATCTGTCTGGTGATGTCTGTCTTTTTCGCGCCATTCTGCCTTAGATTAACAAATTTGTAATGCACTTCTTGACTCATCTTACGCACTGCAAAACTGGCCGCTTGCATGCAAAATTTCAAATTTTTCTATGCAGTAGTTGCTGAAATATGGATACTTTTTTGACAGAACCAAGCTTTGCCTAAGCCAAGCTTTGATCAGCCCAAAGGAACACTACCCAATTAAATCACTGCAAATTACATAGTGTAGCAGCGTAACATGCATGAAAGTCAGTTAATTGGTAGTGACACACATGACTGCATACTTTTACATTCACAAATCTTATATGAAATCGGAGTTTTTTGAAAAAAGAACGTATTTTTACCTAGGTATACCTTCGAAACTGAAATATTCCATATTAAATGTCAAGTCTGTAAGTGCTTGTGGACGGTAGTGGTCGGTTGTAGACAGTAATTAGGTACACCGGGTACATGTAAATTCGCCTATTTTCGTTTAGAATGACAAGAAAAGCTACGCGAACGCCAAAGTACGCTTGCGAAAAGTCTTAGCGACAGGGTCCGACCTGTACCAAATATCTTGCGCAAATAGCGCAATATTTTGCGCAAAATTACATTGCGAAACGTTCGTGAAAGGGTCTGTTTGCAAAAAGGGACTTTGCGCAATTGCGCAAACTGCGAAACGTTTCGTGAAAGCCGGCCCTGGTTAAAAAACAGCGATTCCTGTTCATGACTTGTGTCTACGAGTGGTTTGTGGGGTATAGAAGGCATGCACATTTGACAAAGCCATACACCCTATCCATTAAGCTTGTATATCACAGCAAATTGAGAGTTTACAAAGTACAAGTTGGGCAATTAACTACAAATACATTAAATCACAACACATCTCTGTTAATAATTGGGAAAAAGTCCAAACGAGAACAGAGACATCTTTAAAATTGCAATATCTGTAAACTGTTGAAGT